AATATTTTTTACAGAGCATCACTTAAGCAAAGCTTCCACCTTTGCTAGGAACAGCTTGAAATGTTGGCAAAAATTCCAAATCTTTAAATGTGCTTGGGCTGCACAGTGCATGGTGTGGTTACTGAGAACGGTGGTGGTGTGACAGAGCCTCCTGGAGCAAGAGGATGGGAGGGGCAGGATGCAGCCCCAGGAAAGGCAGAATGCTGGAATTCTGCTCTTTTCACCCAAATTTAGTTCTAACACTGTGCGGAAGCTTTTGGGCTGTGCTCAGCCCTCTGTGAGCTCGAGGTGCTGCTGAGCTCTGGGGAGAACAGAGGGCTGCAAACATCTTGTGAGGATGGCAGAGCCCTGGCACGCTCAGGACAATCCTGGCATGATTTTGGGACAATTTTGGGACAGCCCTGACGTCCTCTTAGGATGTGGCCTGGGTGGTGACAAGGGGGTGAGTGCTGCTGAGGCACAGCTGGGAGAAAAAGAGCAGAAAAGAGGAAAATGGATGTTGCAAACCCCTGAACCCCCAGCACCCCACGGTCACTGCAGCCAGGGGAGTGTTGGTGACAGCCCCACCTCACTCTGCCCTGCCCCAGGGGCACACCCAGGGGCTGCCACCAGCGCAGGGCACCGGTGACACTGGGGGGACACCGGGGGGGCTCCCAAAGGCTCTGGGGCAGGATTCCAGGCACGGGTGTCACCCAGGGCTCCCGCTGCACCAACAACCCCCAGATTGGGGTTGTTTGAGGCAGGCTGGGGTGGATGGAGGCTTTCCCCACCCTGGGGAGTTTGGGGCTGTCCCATCCTGCCTGGTGACATGGCCTTGGGACACGAGCCCAGCGCTATTCCCTGGGAAAACGCTGTGGCTCCTGCCCGTCCCAGTGCCACCCCGGCACGGTGCCACCCCTGCGCTGCCTGGCACCGGCACTCTGAGGGTCAGGGCTCAGCTCCCTCCTGTTGAGCGATGAGGCAGGACAGGTTCTTTATTCCCAGCTGTGGCTGAATCAAGGAGCATCTCCCGTGCTGCCGGGAAGCCTGTGGGGCACCCAGCCCATCCTGCTGCTCCCTGCCCAGCCCAGCAGCCTCCTGCAAGGGCAAGGCGACCCTGGGAAGCTGGAGCAGCCCTCGGGAAGCACCAGGAGTTGTGCTGGCATCGTCCTGGCCGTGTCCCTGCTGCTGCCCCAGGGCCCCGAGCGTGGTGGGATGGGCGTGGGGGGGCAAAGAAAGGCGATGCAGGCCTCGGGGGGGACATTCAGAGCGTGTAATATTCAGCACGGGGGGCACACGGGGCAGGACGTGTCCCGCAGGCAGACACGGCTTTAGCTCTTTACGCTTACACGGAAACTCTGGAACAGTAATATTATAGTTAGAAAAAAATACACCGTACCCAACGAACATTATCTCACGTACAATCAATTTAAACATTTAAATTGATTATAATTTTGCTAAAATATTAACACAAGTACTGTTTGTGCTGCTAAAGTTTCAGTGTTCCCTCTAAGGAAAATATTGCTACAGTTCTACCGTACCCTGTATTAAAAGCCTCGGGGTTTTTTTTTTTTTTTTTAATTTCCCAGCAAAAGTGACTCCACAAAACCACAAAGATCTCGGAATTCCTCGAGGCTGATCCTGCACTGGGGTGTCCGTGGTCAGGCACCTGTGAGGGGCTGGGCACAGCCAGGACCTGGAGCCAAGGCAAGGAACTTCGCCACCGGCAGTGACCTCTCGGGGTGATTGGCTGCTTAATTAGTGCGTTTATCTGCTGCTCATTAATTAGCGTGCTGATCTGCGGCTCAGCAGCAGCAGTGAGCTGTGGCCGTGGCTGTGACCAGGACCTGTGGCAGGGAGGGGACAGGGGTGGCTATTGCTGCTCAGGAGGTCACAAGGCAGTGGTGGCTTTGCCGAGCAGGCGAGGCAGGAGCCCGGAGCCCCCAGGGATGGAGCTGCCCCCCGGGGGCTGGGAATTCAAGTTGGGGCTGGGAATTCAAGTTGGGGCTGGGAATTCAAGCTGGGGCTGGGAATTCAAGCTGGGGCTGGGAATTCAAGTTTCAGCCCCTCTGCTCAGCCCTCTGGGACACAGCCAGGTCCAGCAGCCACACGGGCAGGGAAAGCTGGCAGCTGGCAGCCAGGACCTGCTGGATTTTACACATTCCATCCTTTTCCTGGCTCTCTGCAGCTGAACCCCCAACCTGAGCCTCCTTCCTGGGTGGTTTTCACTGACTCTTCCCACACCATTTCCAAACCCGGGCTCTGAAGCCTTTCCAGTTCCCTGCCTGAATCCCTCGTTTCTGGAGGCTGCAGGGTGACACACGTGTCCCCACCCGGGGCTCTGCTGCAGCTGACAGATGGTGGCTGCTCCCAAAATCAAAATAAAAGTCCAGTATTGCTCCTAATGGCCTTGGATGTCAAGACTGAGCCCCTCACCTTGGTCCTCACCTCTCTGGAGTGAGGACGTGTCAGCGCTGCCAACCAAAAATTCCTTAGGAATTTACAAATTTCCCAATCGCCCCACGAGGAAATGGAACCACAAAGTGCCACATTCCCACTGATCACAGGCTATCCCCATTTAGCAACCAGCTCCTGCTGGTTTCCTCTTTCAAACAGTCACTTTTGAAACCCTCAGCCAGAACCTGTTGAAGTGTAGAAGCACTCTGGATACCGATCCCAACCCCGGCCTGCTGTGCCCCCTCTGTTCCTCTAAACCAAGTTTGGAAACACATGTTTGGATTTTTGTTTTGTACAGCAAGTATACACAAAGGAAAACAACACAGACACCACTGATTTCCCTGTGAATTTGGCACTTTCCTGGGACCTGGACTGGAAGCTCCACAGCGGGAGCAGCCAGGGCCAGCTCTCCCCACCCAGCCTCGATGGATTCTGTGTTAGCTCTGGAAGAACGAGATAAAAACTCCTCAGCTGCTGTTTCCTAAGAGGAAAAGGTGTCCTGGGCTTTGCCAGCAGAGCTCGGAGGGGACATTTCCCCTTCCTCCCCGCCTGTAGGTGATGTGGTGCCAACCTTCCTTCCTCCTGGCTTAGAGGGAACACTGCTTTTAGAAACCCTGGGACAGGTAAGACAAGAACCAATACCACTGTACAGAATTCACTGCACAACGAGCTAATAAAGGGACCCGGCACTGACCGGCCACGGCAAGGAAACGGGGCTGGAGACACTGGGGAGCGGGCGAGGCTGGCACCGCCGCAGCCCCTCAGTACGCTGGCACTTGGTACCCTTTGGGGTTGGGCTCTAAGGTCTCGGTGAATGGGGGGCTCTGGTAGGTCTCCGTGCTCTCCACGCCGCTGCCGCCGGGGTAGCCGGGGTACGAGGCGCTGGGGTCGGCGCCGAACTGCTCGGTGGCGAACAGGGACATGTCCGTGCCCAGGCGGTACCGCTGCAGCGCCCGCAGCGCCAGCACGACCTGCGCCCGGCGGGGACGGCGTCAGACGGGCAGGGCTGCCGCCCCACGGCACCCCGGGACCCCCCGGAATCCCCAGGACCCCTCAGCATCCTGCGTGGCACCAGCATCTCACATTAGCCCAGCACCCCATGTCCCCTCAGGGTTCCCCCAAAACCTCCAGGACCTCAAATCCCACCAGGACCCCATGTCCCACCAGGGTTCCCCCAAAACCCCCAGTACCATGAATCCCATCAGGACCCCATGTCCCTCCAGGACTTCGAATCCCACCAGGGTCCCCAAAACCCCCAGTACCATGAATCCCACCAGGACCCCATGTCCCCCCAGGACCTCGAGTCCCACCCAGGACCCCATGTCCCCCCAAGGTCCCCCCAAAACCCCCAGGACCTCAAATCCCACCAGGGTCCCCCCAGAACCTCGAATCTCACCAGGACCCAATGTCCCCCCAGGGTTCCCCCAAAACCCCCAGAACCATGAATCCCACCAGGACCCCATGTCCCCCCAGAGTCCCCCAAACCCCCAGGACCTCAGATCCCACCATGGTCCCCCCAAAACCCCCAGTACCATGAATCCCACCAGGACTCCATGTTCCTGAATGATCCCCCCAAAACCCCCAGGACCTCAGGTCCCACCAGGACCCCATGTCTCCCCACGGTTTCCCCAAACCCCCAGGACCTCGAATCCCACCAGGCCCCCATGTCCCCCCAGGGTCCCCCAAAACCCCCAGAACCTCAAATCCCACCAGGACCCCATGTCCCCCCAGGGTCCCCCAAAACCCCCAGGACCTCAGATCCCACCAGGCCCCCATGTCCCTCCAGGGCCCCCCCAAGACCTCCAGGACCTCGAATCCCACCAGGGTCCCCTTGTCCCCCCAGGACCCTACAGCCCTCTGGAGCTCACATCCCCCAGCACCCCACATCCCCCATCTCTCTGCCCACGGCAGCACCCCCCAGGCTGCCACCCCTCTGCGTGGTACCCCAGAGCAAATCCAGCCCCAAAGCCCACCCCAACACTCCAGAAGCCATTTCTGAGGGCCAGGGTGACCCCCGGGGCTCTGCCCGGGCTGGGGGGCTCTGGCCGTGCACATCTGGCACTGCTGGCCCAGATAAACACATCTGCTGTGGGGAGGGAGAGCTGCCCAGAGCCAGCCCAGGAAAATAGGTCAGATCTGCCGAGACTCCTTCACCCTCTTCCAGGTTGCTGGAATTGAGGCTGCAAACGGTGGGAAATGTGGGCGGCAAAGCCGGGAGGGATTTCCTTCCAGGAGGTTTCATTAACAATTCAATTAGTTGGTAAATGATGCTCTGAGGAGGCTAAAAAATGCCTGTAGAGGCCAGGAATGGCTTCCCAACCACGCTGGCCATCCTTGGGGATGGGACAGGGTGACAGTGGCGTCCCCATGGCCCTCCCGGGGTGGGGGGAGATGCTGATGGGACGGGGAACATCCCACCCACTGCCCTCCCTGCCAGCGGGATGGGGCAGAGTTGGGATTAAAAGAGATTTCCTGGGATCATCAGAGCAGGAGCAGCTCCGCTGGGGGAGAACCGGAGCGGGGTTTGCTGCTGGGAACCTGGCACTGCCTTTTGCCCCAGTTCTTGTGAGGCAACGTGGAATTAGGGCACATCCCTGTGCCCAGGGGAAGCTGCAGGAGGGATGGAGGGAACCCGGAGCCATCCCTGCCTCTGCACACTCAGCTCTGGGGCAGGAACCCCCCAGTGGGGTCCAGGTGAGCCCCAGGGTCTCACACAGCCCTGGCTGGGGTCCCTCTGCCCAGGGGGGGCTGGAAATGGGAGCCAGGGGGGTTTCTGAGCCCCTTCTCCAGGTGGACAGCAGAGGGGCCAGCCTGGCGTGTCCCAGGAGGGAGCTGATGAGCCTGAGAGCTCCCAAAGTCCCCCAACCACCCCATGAAGCTGCTCAGGGCAGAGTTCTGCTCCTGGGGGCTCTCTGCCTCCAACGAGGTCCTGAAATCAGGGCAGCTCCTGGCTGGTGACACGTTTTGGGAAACAAAACCTCCCATCCTCGGGAGAAAGGGAAGCCTGGAATTCCCCAGGCGGAGGAGACAGAGCTGAGGCTTCTCTGGTGAGAAACCACCAGTTCCACGTGTGGAGAGTCCACAGTACCTCCCCTCACCACGGTCCAGGATTCACTTCTGCAAAGCCCAGCCTCCCCCAGCAGCCCGGGGCACTCCAGCCCTGCTCTGCCCTCACCCAGATGATGATGGAGAAGAAGGAGAAGGCGATGGCCGCGCGCGCGGCGTCGGCGCCCTGCGAGAAGCCCCTGGTCAGCGTCGTCCTCTGCCACTGGTTTGCCAGGAAGCAGAAGGCCACAAACCACAGGAAGGCCAGGAAACCTGCGGGGGGACAGGTCGGAGCCTGAAACGCACGGAACGCTCCGGGTCTGTAAGCCAAAGGTTGGATTCAAACCCGGGATTTGATCTGAGACCTTGGGAAAGGCTCCCAAATGGAGGTGCTGGAAGTGAGAATGTGGATTTGTAGTTTCAAGCAGAGGCACGTTAAGTGGGGGAAATTTAGAGTTTTATAGTGCATCACTGTAAGCTTCTATGTCGTAACATGATTGGCTAAGAAAGCTCACACTGTAGCATGGGTCCATAACACAAAATATTGGGTCAAAGCCATGAACATCCTTGTTAGCAGTGTTTTATTGGTTAATAAATCTTTAAAAGGTCTCATAATTAAGATCTTGTGACCCTCTGAGCCATGCTGTGAAGATGTGAGCTGAACTCACCCTTCCTGTCTATGTGGGAGATAAGAAAAAGAAATCCCATCATCTAAAGCAATTCAGAGGTCTCGAATTAATTAAAAATTCCCACAGGAGCAGAGGTGGTCAGTGCTGCCCCTGCCCAGCACCCCTCCTTTGCTGCTGCACAAACCACCGAGGCTTCCAAAGGAACAGGAAATTTGGGAGCTGTGGCCCAAAAGGAGCTTTTTAAACACAAGAACAGAGGTGGAAGGAACCTGTGGGGTCATCTCAGTGTTTTGCCTGCCTGACCTCAGTGAGCCCCAGGGGCAGCACATCCTCCCTGGATGTGTCGGAGAGGGACTTTTCACAAGGGCATTGAATAACAGGACAAGGGGAAATGGCCTTCAGCTGCGGGAAGGTGGATTTACATTGGACATTGAGAAGGAATTCTTCCCCGTGAGTGCGTGGCTATCTTTTGCACTTTGGGATCGGTGAAGGAACCACCCCAACACCCCGCTAGCAGCGGATCGTGACACCCGAGCAGAGCAGAGCAGAGCAGAGCAGAGCAGAGCAGAGCAGAGCGGGGTACCTGAGAAGCCCAGGTCCAGCAGCACGGCCCGTTTGCGGTCCTTGACGCTGCTGATCTGCTGGAAGTACAGGTCCACCACGAAGAAGAAGATGCAGCCGAAGAAGGCGATGACGCCCACGGCGATGCCGTAGCTGCAGGCGCTCTCATTCTCGTTGAAGATGCAGAGCAGCTCGGGGTGCTGGCTGTCCTTGTTCACGTAGCACTCGTTGACGATGGAGCCGAACACCACGATGGAGAAGATCTGCAGGAGCAAGGAGAGGAGCACAGGTTGCTGCTGCTGCTGGTGGCATTCAGCTCTGCTGCCCAACAGCAGCGCCGCCGGATTCAGCCCCGTCCTCGACTCCGTGGCAACGTGGCGTTTCTCAGCCACATCTCCTCTGCTTGGTGGCTCCAAACTGCACCTGGGTGTTCCTCCTCTGTGAGCTGGAACCTCCTCCTGCCTTCCAGCGCTCCGCTGGGCAGAGGACTGTAAGAACCTGCTTCTCCAGACACGCTGGGGAGGGAAAAAATACCCAGATGGGGCAGGTCCCTGCAGAGAATTAGTGCTGTGCTGCTCCCTGCTGCCAGGCTGGGCCCCACGAAGCCCCTGGTGTCCCCAGGGGCAGGAGATGGCTGAGCAGCTGAGCCAGGGAAGGGCTGGAGGCTCTCACGGTCCCCGTGCCACCTCCTGCAGCTCCCAGGGAAGCCGTGTCACGGAGCAGGGGAAATGGAGCAGAACCCACGGCGGGCAAAGCACCCCCAAGGTCCAGCCACTCTTTAACGTAACGCTGGGACAGATCTTCTCCTCTTCCTCCTCTGGGAGTTCACCCATGGCCTGGGGGCCTGTCCCGCATCCATCCCTGGCCCTGAGCACCAGCCACGAGCTCAGGGGCCACCCAAGTCACCCTGTGGCACCTGCACCCTGTTCCTTGCCGGTGCTGTGCTTGGGGAGCACTTGGGATGGCACAGCACCATCATCATCATCACCATCAGTATTCTCATCACCATCATCATCATCCTCATCACCATCATCATCATTACCATTGCCATCATTACCACCACCATCATCATCACCATCACCACCATCATCACCATCATTATCACCATTGCCATCATCACTGTCATCATCATCATCATCATCACCATCCTCATCACCATCATCATCATTACCATTGCCATCATCACCATCATCATCAGCATCATCATCACCATCATCATCACCATCATTATCACCATTGCCATCATCACAGTCATCATCATCATCATCGCCATCCTCATCACCATCACTTCCATCACTATCACCATTGCCATCATCCCCATCATCATCATCACCATTGCCATCGTCCCCATCAGTATCCTCATCACCATCATCATCACCATCCTCATCACCATCACCATCATCATGACCATCATCACCATCCTCACCATCCTCATCATCATAACCATTATCATCATTATCATCATCATCATCATTATCATTATCATCACCATTGCCAACATCATCAGCATCATCACCATCATCCCTATCATCCTCATCACCATCATCATCACCATCATCATCAAAATCCTCATCACATCCTCATCATCACCACCATCACCATCCTCAGCATCCCCACGCTGTGTAAGGAAGAACCAACAACAAACAGCACTGATCGTCTTCCCAGGGCTTTGGCAGCAGCTGTAACATCAGCAGTTGTAAAAATCTGCTCGTAAATAATGCAGAATTGTTCTTTACCATCAGAAATAGCAGCAGCATTTATGAAACAGGCCCTGGGAAGGAGTAATGTGCTTCTGAATAATTGAGCACCTCTGACTCCACGCCATCACTTCTCTGGCAGGAGAGCAAACTCGTACTCGGGAAGTTCCACTCGGTCCTCCAGGATTCCCAACCTTCCCCAGGCTGCTGGGAGCCTGCTGGGAGCCCCCAGCTTTGGTGGCTGTTGCCCTGATTTTAAGTGGTAAGTTTTCTTTTAGAGTTCTTTTGAAAGTTTTAAAGTTCTCATGAAACTTCTTTAGCCTCCTGGTAACGGTTACGTATTTGAGAGTAATACCATTTCATGTATAAATGGAATAGTTTACAGATTTCTCTGTAAATAGAGAGAAATGATTGATTGAGCTTTGGAGCAGTGTGGTTGGAGAGGTGGTGAATCCATCCTCCAATCCACAGTCACCTTTGGAATTCTATAATTGCCAGATGTTTAAATAAAATAAAACTGGGTCTTTTTTGAACTTCCCAAGCTTCTGTGCACTCATTTCGTGTCCAATAGCGACAGGTGGGGAGGGAGAGCTCCCATAAATGCAATTAAGGATGTCACAGCACAGGTGTGTGGTGCCTGCACCAGCTTTGCACACCTGGGGCTGTCAATGTAGATTTATTTTTTTTTTTAAGGATGTTTCATCCCTTAACTTCCAGTTCCAAAGGATTTTGGAAAGCAGAGCATCCTTCCTTCTGCCAGACAACCCAAGTGGCTCAAACCAGATTTCAATGTGCAAAACACAGCACACGCAGCTTTTCCTTGGGAGGCCAGAGGAGCAACGAATTCCAAGTGCACACATTTAATAGATGAGTTCAAAAACATCAGCACTGCCTGGAATATTCCTGTCAAAACGTGCCTTTCCACGGGTTACCTTTCCCTCACCCCAACATTGTGATGTTATGGTTTTTCTTAAAAAGCCTGCTGGTGCTGGTGAAACATTTTAATGAGAATAAATTTGGTGTTGTCTTTCTAAGTATAGATGTAAAAATGCTTTTATTTTAGGAAAACGTGGGTGGATGAAGAGAAACGTGGGTGGCAGAGAAATAAACCCCCCGTGTTTTTTGAAGTTCCCACAGAACAAGTGCATTTTCCCCATCACCTTCACAAACCGCAGTGGCTCCAAGCCCCAGCCAGCTCATCAGAGACTTGAAAGAGGAAATACAAGGTCAGATTTTCCACCGCCAGCGAGCTTTGGTGGGCCCGAGCAGCACCTCAGAGGATTTGCACAGGAGCCTTCACAGGACTCTCCATTTTCCAGCTGAACAACCCCAAACCACCAGCAACAAATTCTGCTTTTCCTGGCCGAGCTGGTGCGAGGCACAGTACAAAAACTGGATTGTCCCCAGCCACCGCGGTGGGAAATTGCATTTTCCATCCTTGCATCCTGCCCAAGCTGCCACGGGGATGTGCTGGGAGCTTGGGGGCTCCTGGTGTGGAGGTTTCTGAGTGCTGGGAGCAGCTGCAGCAGCTGCAGCAGCTGCAGGAGCTGCAGGAGCTGCAGCAGACCACGAGTGCCGGAGCCTGTGGCTGCAGGGGGATGGAAAAAGGAAATCTCTCCTCTCCCATCCTTTCCATCCAGAGCTGCACCTCACCACACAAAGGAGCCTCAGTCCCACCTGGGGGGAGCTCAACATGGGGCAGGAGCCCCCAAGACCCACGGGGACATGGGGGGCTGCTGGGGCAAAGGGAGCTGGGGTTCCATCACGCCAGGCAGGAGCTGGGAGCTCTCTTGTTGATGAAAGCCAGCAGCCCAGTTCTCCCAGTTTAAAGTTTGCTTCCAAGCAAGAAGAGATGTCTCTGCAGGCCAGGCAGCATTTCTGTGACACAGGACAGTGGGACAGGACAGTGGGACAGTCTCTCTGCTCACAGGGTGGGCAGGCCCTGGCACAAGGTGTCCAGAGAATCTGTGGCTGCTCCATCCTTGGGAATTTCCAGGACCAGGCTGGACAGGGCTTGGAGCAGCCTGGCACAGTGGAAGGTGTCCCTGCCCATGGCAGGGGTGGCACTGGGTGGGTTTTAAGGCTCCTTCCAGCCCAAACCATTCCAGGATTCTGCAGTTCTGCTGGACCCGTCAGGCAGGAGCCCAGGGTGCTGGGACCCTGATGTGTTCGTGGACACACCTTTCAGGAGTGGGTAAAGCTGGAGCTGTGTCTGCCCTGCCTCCAGTACGTTTTGGCAATCTGGGGGGTGCTGGCTGGCCAGGCTGCCTGCCTTTCTTCTGGAGTTGTGCTCTGCAGCTCCCCGTTCCCTCCTGAAGCTCCAGCAGCCTGGAGCCCAGCGCACACTCAGTTCTCCTCCCCGTTGCTTTCAGCTTTCTGCAGCCCATCCCCTAAAATGTGCTTCAGGAGACCTCAGAGCCTGAGCAGAGCCAGGCAAGGAAAACAAGAAGCAAACAAGAGAGGAGAGCAGGAGCTGAGCGCCTCGCTGAGAGCTGTCAGCCATTTTAAGGTGAGATGCTTCCACTGCTGAGGAGCTGCACTCGCGTTTGGGACCTATAAAAAACACCAGCAGAAGGTGTGGGCTTGCAGGAGCCCGCAGAAGGCAGCTTTGACTGCACACACATTAATGTCAGCGTGGAGGAGATGCAGTGCACGGGGGAGAACAGCCCAGAGCTCATTTGCTCTGCCGTGGCTCCCGACCAGCAGAGCTGGGCACCAGCCAGGGCTGCAGAGAGCCGGGCCAAGCCCTGGGGATCCCTCACTCCCTCCCGGAGCCAAACTCCTCCTGCCCAGTCCCTGCCCCCCCAGAGCCCAGCCAGGGAAGGAGGGACCCCCAAACGAGAAGGGAGAACAATTCAGGTCCAATTAGCACAGGTCAAATCAGCACCGAGCGTTTCCCTGGGGCAGAGCCCTGCTTGGGGTCCCTTGGCACGGGGGACAAGCACCCCCAGCTCCCTCCCCAGTTTATCTTTGCAGCTGTCAGCCACAGGGAAGTTTCCAGCACTGATCTGCACCATTTTGGGAGGTTTTGATCTCCCCGGGGACCCTGGAGAGGAGCACCAAGGGAAGGCCTGGCTGCTTTCGAGGTGGGCTGGTGCTGGCTGTAACAGCTTTGGGGCCACGGGCACCAGGCTAAGCAGCTTGGGAGGATGTCTGTTGAT